TGCGTCACACGGCAAGGCTCAACAACAATGAAGCCCAGGTCCAGCGCAGTTGGAATGGAAATTGAACTGAAACTCGATTTTGTTATGCGCCATCTAGTGAAGTTACAACATAATTAACAGCACATCAACCTTTAGGGGGAAACACACACTTTTATGTTCCAATTTTTGTGGAGATCGGTCATACGGTGTCGGAGTTTATTGCTCTTTAATATATCAACATTCATTTATATATAAGAAAGTTTACATAATCGTTACCAATATTGCGAGAGGGTACGCACTATTGTAGCGCCATTCGATCTCTTTAATGAGTGTTTACACCTGGATGACAAGAATGGTCTAAAATATGTCCCAATAACTCTAGACCTGTTCGAATTGTCGAAAGAACTTATCTTTTCTTTACATTCCAACATTTAATTTGTTTTGTTATTCTTCTCTTCGGCTCTTTCTCTGACTCTTTCTCTCTGCTCTCTTGTTCTCTCTGCTCTCTCTTTCTCTCTCTCTCTCTTCTCTCAAACACACACACACATACACACACTTAATGAAATGTTGATTCGCTGTTATTCGAGACTGTTGACATTCATTTGAAGAGAAGCTACACGAAGGAGCCTAAAAAGGGAGTTTCTTTTGCTGCAAGCAGCTGAGCGCTTCTTTTCACGCGAATCAATCAGTCGCACATCACAAATTGGATTCAGCTCAGCGAGAAAACTCCTGAGAGACGCTCTCCGGAGAATGTAGCTCAAGAGGCCGTCAGGGCACAGCGCAGTCCGGGGGAAGGCGGAGCACAAAGCAGCAAAGAAAGTTATTTTCGTTTCTTTAAATTTGAATGGCATGTTAAATAAAAGATGTTAATAATGATATTCTTTCATATTCATCTTACAGCTTTTAATTTAAATTAACTTTCAATTTAATAAATATAGTTCAGAAGATAGCCGGTATAAGCTGTAAAATACGTCGACTTAGATCGCGAAACGATCGTCATTCTTCAAATTAAATATCACCTATGAAATTGGAATTTTTCGGTGCGGAATATGTTGTACTCCGATTTGAGATATTTTGGAGATATGCGAAATAGGGCTGTGCGAAAGGTTAGATTTATTAGATTAACAACTTTTTTTAGCATTTACGGGCGAAAAGGGTAAACTAGATTTTGTAATGCCTTAAAATAACTATTTCATGGCCATATAGAAACACTAAATTACTTTAAGTTGTATAAACATTTTAACAATAGAATAAAAAGGTCGAAGTATGTGTGCTATAACTGTCTTAAAAGTTATTTGATCAAATTTACAGTATCAAACTTAGAGGAATCTCGTAGAAGTTTTTAAGTTTTTAAGTTGTTTTTTTTTCCTTTTTTCAAAACGTCTCTCCATGGCGAATTCATTCTTAATGTCTCTCACGTCTTTAATACTTATATTATCGGCAATTAGTTCGCATGATTGTATTTATGACCTCAGCCATTTTTGTGTTAGGAAACCAATCAATTATAAATTGTCATTTTAACGAACGATTCATGATTAATCATCGATCGTTTTGACGAAGAATTGCGGGAATTTAGCAAACGCACACATGCGCATGCGCTGTGCTGCTGCTGATGTTGCGCAGACTACACTGCGCATGCGCGCGATCCGTATTTCTCCGGAATCATTCGCTGAAAAGAAGGATGTGAGTCGGGCTCATATTAATAAATAATTTTCTAATGTTTTTTCTTTCTTTTGTTGCAGGTAGGTACTCTGGATGGAGCAATAGAATGTAAATGAATGAGAAGAAGGTGAGAAAATGAAAATATTTTAATATAATGTGTATTCTTTAATTTCCAATGGGATTATGAGGTCGTTTGGTACATAATTTATGTTTGTTAATTGTAAAACAATAAGATATTTCAGGATTCGCGGTGTAAATTAAAGTAACGTTTTGTAACTCTGTTCTTAATTTTGGACTTTATTTTGATGCCCGAATTGTATACAGTTGGCATTCATAAACAACGTGAATTGCCAATTAAAGTATTGGAGCTGTACCAACACATAATGTATTGTATTATTAGTAAATGTTACGAACTATTATAGACTTGCACCTTCTATCACATTAACTATTTTTAATTGGTAATTTATTAATTTAATTTAAATATCAATGTAATGGTAATTGTTATTTTATCATTATCTGTCTAATTATACCGTTATTATTATATTATTTTCATGTTATTTATATTACATTACTTATGTTAATAGATGCCCCGGGATTATAACCAATAACAGTTCATATTTTTTTAATATTTAATCTCTCCGAAAACTCAAACGATAGTAATCAAAATTATATATTAATATTTTTTTAAAAAGTGTACATGAAATGATATAAAGATGTCTTAAGGAGGAATAGATATCATTATTTCGGTTTCTTTCTCCTGACTCGTCCGCGATCAAGCAGGAAACATACCTGCAAACCTGGAGAACTCGAAGGCACGGTCGTGTTTTCTCTTTCCATGGATCTGGAGACTTCAGGGTCAGGTGCTGTTGAAAATCGAAATGAAAAACGAAGATGATGCAAGGCAGGCCTTTTCATATTTTTTCATTGATGCCGTAAACGTTTGTTTGCTCATCCCATCCTAGCTTTGACTATGGCCTCCAGTCCCTCTTGAAGACAGACTTGTCTGTACATGACATATCCTTCTCGTCATTGGCAATTAAACAAATAAGAGGACGAAAAATATTATTCCGTTTTCGTTGGTGCCATTTCAAAATTGAAAAGGGAACAATAGCGTTTCGAAGAGACAACGTCCCGAGTAAAACAAGTTAGTAATCTGTAAAGATACTAATCGATATCGTTTCAATCAAGGAAGATATCAACGATACTTTCCTTACGCGTAAGTGCTGTTGTTAATATTAAAGTTGGAATAAAAATGTAAATCATTTTAATTATTACTTTTAACAATAATTCCTTTTAAATGTGATTATTTATTTTATTGCCTTTTTTGTATCCTGCTTTAACCAGAATAAATGCCTTTTTTGAATGCCTAATTTTCTAAAAATAAATGCCTGAATGTCTCAATAAAAATAGGAAGAGAGACCAGGATAGTAGATCCTGAGTATCTACGGAGAAGGGAGGAAGCTGTAGTGGGGAATGGATGACGATAGATAGGTTGTACAGTAACTTAGAGAACAATAGTAATTTGGAAAAGCTGAATTGCTTAGTTAAGTATTGCCCATACTTTGAAGATTTGCGTTATGTCTCGCAAACTAAGAGTACATAATTTTTCTTGTTTTTCAACAAAGCATTGTATACATAATAAATTTTCATAATATAGTAAGTAATCATTTCAAATGTGCAATATTTACTGTCTGTAGATATTTAGTGTATTGTTGTCTATCGTTGCTCTTTTCTTGTAAGTGTACCAATAACCGTAGATTTCTATACTATAGCATCCTGGTATTCTTTTAATTTCCAGTATGTTAGGAAATTCATCATTATTTCACAGGATCTTTGAAGATGCCGAACATTAATTCGAATCGTATAAATGGCGAGGAATTCGATACCATTTTGTTTGTAGCCCTGTGGTTATGGCTTCTGTGGTGATCCTCCACTGCACTGACCCACATTCCTGAAACTCCAACCAACAAGTGCGGTATTTGGGAATTCGCCAATATTGGCCGTTAATCAATAGTTCTTTGTCCGCTGTATGAAGAACGTAAAATGAAAGAGACGGGCGAGAAGACCTCTCTTCTGCCCACATTCATAACATTGCTGAACACAGACCGACTTCGTTGAATTTTGCTTCCTGATCTTCATGCTCTTGAAGCTATGTGTAGGTGTTACGGGAACAAAATGCATCTAATCTCTGTGCCAACAAATTACTGCATTTGCCATTTACACTTTTTTGTAATAATGTATTGTTGTATCGACATCACATCAGATACAAAGATGAAAGCCTATCTGAACTATTGGCGCCCGTTAAGGAATTCAATAGTCCGGCGTCTGTTGATAACAATGAGCACATATAAGTTGTTGATAAAGATGGCGTTTAAGAACTCGTATTCCACGTAAATGAATTTCGTACTTATGTGATTTATTCCGAAAAGGAATTGGTATTCTAAAAAGTATGTAGTGACACGACCCAAATTTGTGTAGAAGCTAGGCGAGTTTTGAGCAAAAACTTGATGATAGACTTTCTTAGATTTTTCCTCTTATATTCTTGATGGGGTTAAAGTTTTTTATGCATGTTGTAATACAATTCATTGAGGTTATATTTTAAAATATTTTTTACAGTATTCGAATAGTGAAAATTATTTGACAAGATAGGTAGTCTTTGTTTTCTTTTACCTCTCGGATTTCACAACTCAGTCATGCAAAATTAGTGATCAAATCAATATTAGTGATAATTTGATGTATGAAAATAAGAGGAAATTTAAATGATGGGATAGTGGTAATAAGAAAAAGCTCAAACTCGCTTAGATCTGATTTAGAGAAATACATGGCAATAAAAGCAGAAAATATATTACTATATATTTTATTTTTGCACAGAAATCTAGTGTGTAGAAAAACATATTTGAAGTTGTCAATACAAAATATTTTTAAAAGACTGTATATTTTCCATTTCTGCTCCAGTTAGTGTGTCACGAACGGGATGCCATGTCTTCTGAAACAGAAAATAAATTTTGTTTCTATTGTAAAACATACGCATAAGAGATATGTATCAATTATTACCAGCTAGACTTCCATTTTAGTGACAGCATGGGAGTAAAAGGCCAGGATAATATTATTTAATACTCTTAAATATTTATCTTAATTGTATTTTATTCATCTACTCATGTTTTCCTGTGATAGTGAGTCCAAAGTTGTAATTCAGTAAACAAAACCATAAAACTAATAATGATAATAATAGCAATAATTAGTATAACCAGACATAGTTAACATGAACAAACAACAACTACCTTATCCATGCTTTATGATAATCCACGGCTTGTAAATAAGAACTAGCGGCAATCGTTTGAATAAATTGTAATTCTTTAAGTATTGTCAAATACAGTTTTTGTACTTCTTCTGTATTCTATTTTATAATTCAAAACTGTGTTATTGGTATATATTATTTCAAGAGATAAATCAAGCACTACTCCCCTAAGAAATACGCAATGCTCGCCTCCTTTGTAAAAAAAAGATGTATTAGCATTGAAGTCTTGAGTTAATTACGTACACGAAAACCTTATACAGTACACCTCAGTATGAACATCTATACCAACAAACTGCATAGGTATCTCTTATATCAGAGCGAGATATTGAGATGGGTCAGAATACCTTTAGGATATTTAGTATATAATATTAAAAAATTATGTCGATAAAACATCACGACCAGAAAAGAGAAATATAAGGAAATGTGAGAAGAAATGAGACGTTGAGAACTTAGGGCTTAAGTTAACGTCAATAAAAAATGACTTCGCACGTGTATTGATAACATTAGTAAAATATTTAATAAATAATATTTTATTAAAGAGTCATTGTTATAATAGAGAGGAGAACGCGGATGGTATAGTTACAGAGGACAAAATTGGATCGGAGTGACCAGAAACAATCTGAACAAATAAAAAGCAAGAACAAGTGTAGTTGCAAAATGAAAATTCTTCTTCGGAACTCATCTGGATTTGGTAGAGGTAGGATGGGTCGTCGTGAGCTGTAAAATTTGATAATGAATGTTTAAACTCGGAACAGAACGTAATTTAGTAGTCAACAATGTTAGCCGCGAATGTTTAAAACTAATATTAAAGCAGGTCGAGTTGACGTGGACGACTTTAAAAATATGTGCTGATAAGAACAGTGTGAGAAATATCAATAAATGGTGGAAGAACGATTCCGAATGGACGTATTATCTACTCATCGCCAAGAACGCAGTGTATCATCACCAGGGATGAATATAGCATAAGGATACATACAGAGACTTTGATATTTATTAAATGTGCTAGGCCAAGAATGTATTTGAAAGTAATATAAATTAAGAGAAAGGGATTTATTTCTTAAAAATCAATTATAATAAATTGATTATGGACATCATAATAATTTGATTGAGAAAACAAATGAAATCAGAAAAAATATTGTTAATGATTGATTAGAAAAGAGAGATAATTTAAACAAATAAATAAATAGTAGCCAATACTTCATGTCGCTGAACTATTAATTCACTGAAGAAGTTGTTGTTTCAAAAGTAGGAATCAGCAAATTAATAAATTCCTTGCATAAATAGAAGTATTCACCTGCCGGATTCTCGTATGAACGGTATATTTTCAGCTCACGAAATTACAAGCCCTACGATTTTAAATACTTCTTTTATAGCGCTCCATGTATACAACCAAAAACGAGCTAGCTAATTGAATAGATGTAATACGAATAAAAATGAATAGAGAGAGGGAGAAAGAAAGCAGAGGGAACCGTCACAACATGGACCTCGCGGCACTTGGCACTGAGGTGGTGCCGCAGCGCTCCTACTACAACAGCTTAACGGCCTTTGAAAGTAGGAACCGATATTCGTACAACATATCTACCAAATGCTACCAAACATTTTCTCTGCAAACTAACTAGTTTATATCCACACCTGTGGAAAGTTCCTAACTATAGGACGATTTCCACACTGAAGGCGTCGGTATTCGCGCACGGCTCCACTGCTCCACGGCAGTGTGCAGTAGACCACGGGCCTCATTAGAAGGCTCCAAATGGGAAATGCTGTAAGTGTCAGACTCATTCGGCATATTCAGCGTTCTCCGTACCATGACGAAGAATAACGCATACACTTCTAGGATCATTCGATCCATTTCAAACTACAAGGAAAATGTTCTTATTCTTTCAACTCTACCCAAGTTATTCGCCTTGCAGTATCCATTAAGTTGTTTCCCTGAAAAATCTGAAAATACGTAATTTTGGCACTTTCAGCGATTCCTCATTTGCAGTCTTCAATTATTGGCTCTGCGTGGACACTCTAGGCTCTGGAGATAGTTAACGACAAGTGTATTGAATATTCTCTCCCGGCTTTTCGTATCTTGCGTTCTTGTCATGTAACGGTACCTTCTCTGATTTGTTATTGTATGATGCGTGGAAAATAAAAAAAAATGTTACAACTATTTCTGCAGCCTGGCTATTTCAGATATACCAGGGGCCAAGCAAGTGGCTGAAGGCCAAGGACAACACTGAATTCATTTTGCGAAATGTATTTGCAAACCAAATTGAACACACTGCGAAGGGTACATACAAAGACCCTCTTTATGTGCATAATACCGGAAATTCAACAAAAAAGAGACGATACACGTATAAACAATGTGAATATATATTGGCAATGGTGCGAAAATGCCAAGCAAAAATACTACAATGCAAATCACTCTGTTTATTGCAGAAAAGTTAAATTTCTATAATACGTGAAAGAGAGAAAAATAGGAATACACACGTACAGACCTATTTTCATTTGAATCAAGAATCATTGTGTCCAATAAATACGAACATTACTCTGTTTCATTAAACTATACCGGAAGTATATACCCACGCATGTATTCACGTACATGTCGATGTACAGTCTTTAGGTTTGAATATACGTTGAAGGAATGTTTCCTGCCTCTCTTCTTTATATGTTTGTGATCACCTATTTATTGAAGGAAGAAAGAAAAAGAAATATTAATTCTTGGCAAATACAACATATTGTATGATTATTTGCAAACGCTACAAAACATTAGAAAGAAAGATAAATAATATCCTTCTTCCACTATATTTTGAAGTAATTATAAATATGATTACTAAAAAGTGTCGGTATCTGGCATGGATAACAGAGCAAATTGTTTTATCAGTTGCTAAATGAAGTGCCAGAATGTATTGGACCTGAATATTACATTGGCTGAGGATAGATGACAATAAATGCAGTTCTTCCTAAGAGACCGAATCGCCACTTATTAATTTATTAATAATTTCATGAAAATGAAAGTAAACATTAAATGATTTTTGTTCATTCTTATATTTCATTATTGAAATATTATTATGCATGGCTATTCTTTTTAGCCGCTTTACAATAATAAACTTTGACATCGTTTATTTATTTTACATTCAGAAGTGGCTATCTTACCCCAAAATAATAATTGTGTGTACACTACCATTGTATTCTACGTACGTATTTGACATTTTAGGGACGGATTTTTCCGACATTTTCTAGCTAGCGATGTTCCCAGGTCTGGGGCTTGTTTTTATTTATTATCCACACTTGACAAGTAAGGGAGACATGTAACGGGCATCGTCGTATCTAGCATACTTGGTCTGCCTGAGCTTTTCTTTCGCCACACAGCTATAGAAACAGAGACGATTCTATTAAAAAGCTACAGCTCTATTTTTGCTTTGGCCAGGAATCGAACCTGGCATCGCCCCATGAAAAGCTAGCATGCTGACTACCCGAGGGGCACACCAGCATTGTAAACGTCCCTTTCATTGCAAGATGTAATTTACAAAACGGCATTTTATGACACACACTATAACGTTTATGGCACGAATAATTGCGTAATAACACATTTAGCCAATTGCAGCGAGCGAATCGTGTGGTTGTGACGGTGGTAAATCGCATTGGCGACCGAATCGCAGAGAGCCACTTGTGAAGGCGTGGGGTGGCGGTAGACCGTTTTTATTTTCACCCACATGTCAAAATACTTGTGCTGTCATAATAAAGTTGTTTCAAAAATTAACTTTGATAAATTTATAATACTGTTATACAAAAAAATTATGTATGCAGCTCTTTTATGTGTGCATGTTTTTCTTTTTTTTTAAGGTCGCATTAACTTCGACGTCATTAGCGACCACTATTGCGTGTAACGCTATGGTAACTATGAGGATGACAGGGGGTGAAAGGACGAACACATACCACCATGGCCCGAGGCAGCACTCGAACCCTCGATCTTTAGGTCCGAGATCGCTATGGCAGTACAGCTTTAGCGATCTCGGTCATCCGGACCGGCCCTTTTATAATGTTTCATTCCATTCGTACGAATCTGAAATCTCGCTCCTAACAACACTCGTTTTCAAAATCTTTAAGTACACAATAAACCTTAACATTACAAAATAGTTGCATATTAGTACAGTATTGAATTAGCAAATGGAAATATGTACATTTACGTCACAATGCCAGTCTTCGAGTTGAAGCTTTGTTGCGCCATACATAATTACAGTTCATTTACAAACAATTAGACACATGTGACTCATCGAAAACGTCTGGTGTCTTGTTTACTAATAATATCGTTTCAAGGCCAATACGCTCGTCTCAGTACCGCGCACCATTCGATATTTCTACCAGTTATTCTCGGAAAATCTTGCATAAACATGGCGTGTTTCGTAAGTTCGAGATTTTATTTTTTCTCCTGAAAACTTGAAATTCCTGTTTTAATTTAACTTAACGTTAATTAATTTAGAACAGCGTAATAAAATACTTCATTTATTAGCAGTAAATATATCGTAAATTGTGATGACTGGTAAATAAGAGTTAATTAGAAGAAACATTTTAGACTTTCCTCAAAAAAAAAATCCTACTGTTAAATTGGAATAAAGAACATTCTACAGCAATTTTCGTAGCATGCTTTCATTGTAAATTTTACTTTCTTTTGATGTCCCTATTAAAATAATTACTGTTTCACTCTTTCGGATTTAATATTTATAATGTATATGAATAAAAATTGAAGTTTCGTTGAAAGCATCTTTTTCAATACATTTGCGTAAAATAGTTTTGTATAATTAGAAAAACTCATGCCACCTGATGGTAGAGTCACGGGAAGAGTGAAAACTATAAGACATGCCTGCTTAAATTTCATGTCGAAACGAAATAAAATTAAAGTAATTTTTGATCTAGAATTAATATTATTTCTTATACTTTTATTTCAGTTGTTCTTGGATAAACAAAGTGTACAACGTCAGATAGATAGGATGCTTCTGATAAGTATTGTTTGTCCGCGAACGGGAACGTCAATCCTGATTGAGCAATTATTGGTTTCAAATGCAACATTGCGCGAGGTCTTGAAAATACTCGAGAATATCACGGAAAAAATTAACATCTGATTGCATTGCAAAACAATAATTTGCTCTTTGAACAACGTACGAAACTGCTCGTGACGTACAGAACAAGCTTGTGTTGTTGACTCGCTGCTCCTTCGAAGGCATATCGATGCGGGGCATAGATTGTGAAATAAAAACAAATTTTTCAGCGTTCAATTTCAAAAACTTATTCAGCGTAATTTCCCCAATAAGTCCCAATAACAAAGTATTATTTAGTTTCTCAATGATAATTGCGACGCACATTTTTCACTATCAGACGTGACCAACGCTATTGTGAGAATTTGATTCGAGACGGCATTCCCAATTACTCACAGCGTTCGGGAGCGCGTGGCGGGAGGGGCTGGCCTAACCGAAGACGGGGTTCCTGCACACGTGCACGCAGCCGTTGTCGCAGCACAGGAGGTTGCTGGGGCAGCCCTGTCGTCGGAGCAGCCCTCGGTTGCGCAGAACGCTGCTCCGGCCTCGGATGGGCGGGACAGCCCAGGGCGCGCGCTGGCCGGGCCCCGTGGACGCCACGGCCGCCCGGACCCCACCGCCCCCCCACCACCGCCAACCCCCACCCAGCACCACAGCGTGCTTAGCCTGCGGACCATCGCCATCACTGACGCCCGCAGGCATTGACGTGCTGCCTGCCACCGTCCCCGACCCCGCCCCCGCCCGCCGGCGTCAGTTGCACGGTCAAGGTTCACGTGATTGCGTAACGCGCCTCTGGAAAGCGGGTGCTCGTTCACGGTTGCGTGGTGGCTGGCGCGCGGCCCTGAGAGTAGGCTACGTTTTAGTGAACTACTTTAGCGGAGGGATGTTCTTAGCTTGCGTTTTAAAACAAATGTACGTTTGAGGTCTCAGGTGGCTCAGGGTTTCACTTGATGTCATTCCAGTGCCTCTTATCGGAAGGACCTAGGTTTCGATACCCGACAGATGGGGTCGAATTCAGCGACCGGCTGCTCTGTTCGATAGTTTTCCGTGATTTCTCAGATCATCACCAGCCGAATACGGGAGCAGAACCGTAACAAACGGGCCATGAGCCGCGCGCGATATTTTCTTCCTCTTCCTTGTCGTATTCTCACCTCTTACTTACACCTACATGCACAAACTACCGCACATGCCGGAAGACCAATCTGGAGCTTAGTGATTCTTCCGGGTGGGGCGGTGCACCGCTGGTGGGAGAAACCTCGTTGGGGAAACCCCTGCAAGCCGACTGGTAGTTCGGCCACGGTTCACGCCATCTAGCGAGGAGAAATCACCGCCACCTCCCGCATGCATTACACATACGGAACTAATGACCTTTGCAGTTGGCATCATCTGAATCCTCAAACAATCAATCAATCAAAACGTTTGAGTAGTTTTGTTCACTTTTCCTCTGTGAAATGGCGGCAGCTTGTGGGGAAAGGGATCCCTTATGGGGCCCCATTTCCTGCCCTTCCGAGAGGGAAGTCCTTCCGAAGGGGCCCGTTCAGGCGACGTTCCGGTCGAACGAAGACAGCTTATCTACAAACGGCCTCTCTAGCAGAGATGCGATATCAATGACGATTTTTTAAGACAACGGTTCACACAAATCTGACAAATGCCACTCAGCCATAAGTGTTTGAGTTGGTAGTTTAACATACGATTTTTTTGTGACGTTGAATTTTGAAAATTATAAAATCCTTTACAATGAAAACAAAGAGGACTTTCTGGTAAGAACTCGAGCATTCTGGGCATTTAGACTATAGTTAGCAGCAGAAATTGGGTAAAATCGAAAAGCCCTTATCCAAAAGAAAAGGGAACTAATGTTGTTTTATTATTTTAGAGTTTTAATTACACAGTTTCTGCGTAATAAAAATAATATATTAGAATATGCTTCAAAGATAATATTTTCATTTTAAGTAAAACAGTAAGACGAATTATAGAACCACAGAATTTTTGAAATTTAACCACCTGTGGTGGTCAATTAAAAAACTTGTATTTTTCATTTTTAAAGGTGGGCTAATCAATATTTTATTATTTTCTATTCAAAATAAGTAATTAATAAAATAATATGTTCATAAAAATGTTTCAAAGTATTGCCATATTATATTTCTTATACGTTTTTCCGTAAGTTGAAATTTAGCTCCCGATATTGGGACCATTACCAAACCGGCCTCATGTCATCGTTTGCCATTCGAGTCGAGTTGAGTCGAGTTCGCTAGCTCATCCTCGTTAGTATTAACTGTTTTTTATCCTTGAGCAACGACCTACATGTTACAATTCATTCCTACCTGTCAGATTCGATAGGACGCCATTCTAGATGCGTTCTTCACTAGAGTTCGTTAAATTTCAGCGAAAGCGATGATAAATTTTACAAACACGTCGTATGTTGTTTCGTTAGTAAGACGGTAGTGGTCTATGACAACACGAGTATAGATGTAATGAATTTTGTAACAAATATACTCGTTTTGTAACAAATATACTCCATTATTTGTTTTCGTAATATAAAAACATCTTGTTCGTTAGAGTTTCTTTTGTGAAACGAATAGAAAACTAGTGAAATTAATTGCAATGAAAATATTTAGTAATAAGAAGTAGTTTATTACAAACATCAATAGTTGGAAAATAATAATTCTAAGGACTCATGGAAACTGCTCAGTCATTGCGAAAAAAAGTTAAATCCCCCAAAAAACGATATTATTTGATATAATATTCACATTACCCCATTACGTGTCGATTTTATCCACGATATCAAGTTGCGTATACATGGAAGGATGTGATTGTGGTTTTAAAAACATTATATACCAATTATGCTACACCTGTTCCGTTCAATTCAGTATTATCCAATAAAACAAAAATGAATTGCTTGAAGTGAAATAAGTAACATTCAAAATGAAATGGATTCTGACACTATGCCCTTCTCATTTTACTTCCCCTACTCTCCGACAAAAATATTTTCTTGGTTAACATACATTATGGGAATTCGGTTTCTGTAACGAACTTGAATATTTTATTTCAAAGGTTTCTAGACTTAATCCGATCTTCTCTTTGGTAAACTTAATCTTAGTAGATAAATGTGAAAGAACTTTGTGAAAGGTCACAAGTTTAAGAGATCGTCTTGTGACGACAAAGGAACGCGTCTTTCGAAACCAGGTCACAGACTGCGAACACAAGCTTATCTTAGAAGAGCGCGCAATGCCAAGAAATAGCCATTTAATTATTTCGCACTTTTATACCACGTACATTTAAAAAAAAAATACTTGCATTGTCTAATGACGGCTTCTGATAAAATTATCCCTAGTTATCAGATTAATTATAATATAAATAGTTTTAACGCAGGTTGAAAAGTTATTTTCCGATACTATCTCTGACTCGATACATTTTTATGAATAGAACGTCAGAGAGAAATCGTATTGTGTATATTATAGCGTACCAAATCAAAATTGGGGCGCCTAGGGGCACAAGATCGGGGTTTTAAAAGCTTAGGATGATCCGTTTCTGAGTTATACGCGTTGGTAATGGGAAATGTAACGTAACGTGTGCTGCGGATTACATTTGCCGCTGCCAATTAGTTCGTGAAATAATGCACAAATTTCCGTATTCTATATCTGTTGTGGAGCTGGGAGTAATTTCCTGCCCACGAGCAACACTTCTAGGGATTTTTGAATCACGTTCAGAGTTTGTCCTGGCTAGGGCGATGCCTCGCTGAGGTGGAGATACGTGGAGGTGGAAAATCTTCCGCAAGTGGACGTATATTTTGCCACCGGATCTCACATTCCTTTGTGAGAAAAACTCCGCTACCTACAGAAATAAAATATTCACTACACTAACTGGAATAATAACCATAGCAGTTGATCTGACTGGAAACATTTATCAATCAATCAATATCAAATTTGTGTCAAACAAAATTTCTAACTCATTTACAACCGACTTCCGCAGCAACGGATTCTGCGATGGACTCTGGTTTTCAGAGGGCTACAGTGTGAAAACGTCTCTTAATATTCAGAACCTAACTTCGAAAATTAGATCTACAGACATCATAAACTTATTCATTTCTTTACATGCAACATTTCAGATAATTTTGAAATGAAATTGATAAGTATTTACTATCTTCAAATTTTTAAAAACAATTTTAAAACAAATACATTTGTCAAAACATGTTTAAATTATGATAGAACACTTGTGTATTATATTACAAAATACCTATAATGAAATAGTTATCTATGTTTTAAACTAAATATGTAGTATTCTATTGCATGCAAACTTCTACCTCGACCCATTAGGCCTTTTGATTTCAGTACCTGGTGATTCTTATTATTCTGGATCGACGCAGTTTTTCATGCCGTCAATGGCACAGCATTTCTGCTCGCCAGAACAATCCTCATCCGTGTCGCAGATCAAATCGCATCCACTGAGTGAGCCGGTATCAGGAGGGCAGTTGCCTTCCTTCTCCGCCCGCACATGCACCGCCACCAGCGCCACCGCCGCCAAAAGAAGAAGGATCCTTGCGCGTCCTGCCATTTCTGCCTGCACTTCTGTCACTAGCACTGGCATTCGCCTCTTATAAGGGAACGTAAGCAGGAGCGGTGGTGATTCCTGGACGGGTTCTTATCGAGTTATCTCGTGAACGTTTGATCATTTTAGAGAATGGCTTTAGTCGAACATTTGCATTCAAATAGCTGCTGATATGATGTATCTTTTGCATGGATGTTTTTGCGCTGTTAGAAGTAAAATAAATGTGAAAAATTAAGTTAGATACTGAAATATCAATAATAGTTCATACGCGGTAAAGAGATTCAATTGAGCAAGGCCATATTGTCGCCAATGTGGCAGAGAATGCAGGAAAAATGGAAAGGGGCGAACCTTAAGGAAGAAGGAATACGAAGAAAACTGAAGAACAACAGGTAAATGAATGTGGAGGGTCCATATATAATATACATAATATCCACATTTAATATTCAAGTAACCTGCGCCTGTCAGTCTGTCTCTCCGAACGTCCGTCACTTAAAATTAAACCCCCTTCCCGACCACCAATCCAGAGTTATGAGGTGTCATGCGTCGTGTCTCGGTCTCCTGATAGAGAACTGATGATTTGTTTGCGGATCTGATCAGAAAGAAAGAAATGTCTATAAATGTGTTTATGCGTTTTTAGCACTGCGATCTAGCTGTGTGCGAGCAAACCACGTGCTTCAGCGCCATGCTGTGATGCAGCTGTGATGTCAGCTAAATGTATTTATCAGGGTTGTCCACCTGGCGGTCCACGGGCCGCAGGCTACCCACGATGCCTTTTATTGGGGCCTGCGAAAGGGTATTAGTGAAAAATGAAAGTCCTTTTCACCCATGTTTTATGAGAACAATACGCAAGCGCCCTGCCAGGGTCAACAGATCTTTTAAAGTAAAAACAGATTAAATATGTATTTAATTTTTTTTCTGGAATATTCAGAAATACAAAATCATCCTAATATGTGTCTCAGCTTTACATATAGTACGGCCTAATACTAACTCATGTTCCACCCCTCTCCCGTTTCAAGCAGCCGCGGCAGTGTCGAAATCAACAAATTACGGAAGCTCAAGGTGCGGATCTCCCGGCGTAACTGAGAATATTGGCCCACAACTGCAATAAAAGGTGTTAGTATGACCCTCGAGATTCTCAAAGGAGGAAGAAACTCGTGTTTTATATGATAATTAAGTTAAAAGCAGCATATACGAGTGTGATAATGAGATAATTACTAAGATTATTCCAACAACAACTTATATTTTTTAAATTGTGTAAGATTGGAACGGTGTATTGCAGAATATGAACTTCCATACGCAATTTTTTCTTTAATAAGCCGCCTGACAATATACAGAAAGAATGTATTCTTCAGAACACCTCTTTCGAAGCATACGGAAGAGGTTCTCCAAAACCCTGTTCTGGAATGGGAAGTGTTGTAGCCGACAAATATCTGACAAGCATAATTGCGACCGCACATTTTTGTATTTTTATTACTTTATTTTCATTCTTTAAAAAAATATTTTATGTACTACGTCCGACGATAACACAACCAGACAACTGATGTTTAAAATACGAAAATATTTGAAAACCAGTTTAGAGCCTTGGCAAAGCCACATTCAGATAGTAACAATTTATTGAATTCGGTGTAATCTCGAAATGCCTAGTTGCCTACCTTCAAAGCGATTAGCAGCTTGTGCAGTTGTGAATATTGACTTATTTTCTGAGAATGCGATGAATGGTTGTTTTGATAGCAGATAGTAATAGTCCTGAGCACGTAATTACAGCGATTAATAGAGGCGAGGTCAAAACCGGATTTGATAAAATAAGAGACGATACCCGTTAAGTTGTCTCATTTGCGCAGTAAGTGACAGTCACCGCACCGGTTTACCGAGTCATTTTTTTATTTTATTTTTTCTTGAAGGGACATTTTTTTCGGAAGACAGCGTATTTTGTTTCTGTTAATAATTTCAAACAGAAATTACATGAAAACGACTAGTTTTTAAAAATAATTGAACATGACCTTTCTTAAAGAACTCACTTTTAAAACAGATATGGTTAAAGGCAAAATTTTTTATCTTCAACTTTGTAGTTTTGAAATTTTAACTTTTTGCAACTTTTGAAAATACAGTGTTTGCCGGAAGTGAATCTCGCACCAGTGTTTTACCGTCCATTGGTACATACAAATAGAAAATTTAAAAAAAATTCATTATTGAGAAAGTAATTGTATAAAAAGTGTTTTAAATTGTTTATATTTCACTCATAATTAGGCAAAAACTACTCACATTTTCGGAAAATTGTACATCTGTCTTTAAAGAACAGATTTTGTTAAGGAAAAAGCTGCTGTCTTCACTATTGTAATTGTAGGAAGTCGTCGCAAACACTATTGAACTATTGCATATTTAGACAAATCATGGATTTCAACTAGTCCTACTACAAGGCTTTCTACAAAACTAGTCCTGCACTAATTTCTTAAGCGTTCTTTACGCTCTCTAAGAACAAAGTTTAATTCAAAAATTTAAAACCATTTTTTTAATTGAAAATATTGAGGCTTCATATAAAGCACTTGTCTTCTGATCACATCTGATACCCACTACCTTTAATTTAAAGCAAGAAACAGAAGATTTTGAAAAGTAGGAAGCTCAAATTTATTTCTAAATGAAAACCTTTGATGTTTCAAATATAAAGATTAGCAATTTTCACAATGTCATGGTTTTAAAAGAAAATCTGAACGAGGTCTTTCTTATAAATACACTTTCCTCTGTTACGAAAAATAATTAAACGAAAAAATTGGAGCCATTTTCGATAATAAGGTTTGGATAATATCACAGGATTGATGTGGTCACAGGAAGTGTCTCCAAAAATTAAAATGTATAAATAATCTAAGGAACAGCGCAACTAGATCTTACTTTTGACATATTTACCAATTTTCATCAAGATTCTAACCTTATAGTCACGTGTGACGCTCACTTCCATCCGTCCGTCCATCCATTCTTTCATCTACATAGACTACCCAATATCGGGTATATACATTCTTCCTTGCCACCAGCACGAATACTAACAATCGCAAAGAGATCTTCATCCTCACGCCTGTGCAAAGTTACATCTCAAAAATTCACGGACTTCACCAACAAAAATTCGGATTCCTTTTGTTGTGTAGAGAGGAAAAATAATAAATAATACATATAAATTCTGTTAATTAAAAAAATCTGCTTATAAAGAAAATATATTCTTGAAATACAGCAATATTAATGCAATAGGTAAGGAAACCCATTGTAATAATTGCGATGAATTTGATTGTTATTGTTTGCCTTTTGAAAGAACATAATGGGTCTAGTTCTTGAAGTTATAATCGTTTCTTTGTTTTTCTAGTTTTCGTGCTGACTGACTGTATAAATAATGCTGTCATATCTTATATGTCCTTACATGTCTTATCTTATATTCTAGTTCAGTCATTGTCAGTCTAGTGCATTCAAGGAGTATGGTAGATAATAAACAACAATTTAATATTTGTAGCCTTGGTAAACTCTAAAATGTGAACGCAATTTCTTCTAGCACGAATCATTACCTGCATTGTAGTGTTTCTTACGCCACGATGAACCAAAAAGTTCGAACATAGTATTCCGAACATAAGACGAAATAAAATTACAAAATTTCCAATATTGTATATAAAACCACTAATATTTTTCGTTTAGAAATAAATTTAATCTATCTACTCAACCAAATTTCGAGATTCTTGCTTTAAATGAAAGGTAGTGCGCCCGTGTGTAAACGCTCGCTCTGTAAACGAGTTTTAAAGTATGAACACTATTTCCATAAACTGAGCAGACCATAAACTGAGAACCGAAGTGCACGCAATGGAAGCAGACCAGGGAGTGAAGATACGCAATTCAAAAAATGGTTGTTTGACTTTTCGGCAGACACGAGACACAATCGATTTCCGATAACGTAAATGTTTTTTTTCAATTTGATATGTTTAAAAACTTTACAAATTTTCAAAATCTTATTTTCGTTTTACACTTTGGAACGTTTTAGCAAGAAGATCTTGGAAGAGTTATCCTTTTTAAGTCCTATTTCATTAACTTTTGAATGTTATTAACGATGTTATAGCAATTTGAAGTTTATTCCATTTGAAATTTAAGAGTTACTCCCCTGCTCTCTCAAAGGTTGGGTGATGTTCACTCTTATCAATACTACATAAAGTTCTTAAAAATATCATAATGTTTTTCACCCCCTGGTGCAATTTCACCTGAATTGCGAAAAATTGTATTTTCTACTATTACAACGCCATCTTCTGAAGAACAAAAACAATGTTTCAAACAAAATCTACGTATATTTTTTGCGGAAAATCCGAATCTCCTATAAAAAATAGGAGTTCCCATTCGAAATTCATAACATGTTCTTTACATTTTCCGGTTCAGATTTGTTTTAGGCAGGCTTACGCACATTAAAAAGCAAAAACAAATTAATAAAAAAACTTAATTTACATTGAAAAATTTATTAAAATGTTATTGAAGTGCGAGGGGCACTTTTTCCCTTCTCTTAAGAGAAAAAGTTCTCCTCAAGACGTTGAGCGAAAATTACATATTAATAAAAAAATACAATCCAAATAATGGTTTTTATTATTTTTTGTCAATATGTATATGACTGTCTAAAACAAATCTAGACGGAAAAATCAAAAGAACATCTATGACAAATTTAATTTGTCATTTTTCATTGCGAAATACTTAAATAAACTTTAAGACAGTGGATAGTGTAGTGGCTCCCCTGGTGGATGAAATGGAAGTTCTGAATAGATGGAGAACTCAGAAGAGCAAACTCTCCAAAAAAAAAAGGATACAAGGCTTCAGAAAATGGTTCCCAACAATTTGCAATGTCTAAAAATCTGTACTTATAAAACATTTTTTTAACATGCATATACCTTCCCACTGGAACACAAGTTCCAGTGTTTCGGGAGGAGTGAATCTTTAAGACATGTAATAGGCTATATCATCCAAAAATGTGTGATTTCGTAGATTATGGCATTGACAACTCACTCATCACGGATACGAAAATCTGGTTTACAGACACGAGTAACCACAATTCCGAGTGGTGATGATGGTGA